CCAACCTAGGTTGGTGCAGGGCATGCAGCAGCTGCGTTTTGGCAAGCCAGTGTGGGCTATCGCCTGAGCAGGAAGGACGTATATGCAAAAGATGCAATTGCTTCGTTGGAATGCTACAGTATGCGCAGTCTCGAGAATGTTGAACTGCCAAAGGGGCTGCGGTCCTTGACGTTCGGCAAGCATTTCGACCAGAGCTTGGAGAATGTGGCTTTGCCTGGCAGCTTGCAGTCCTTGAGCTTTGGACGCGATTTCAACCAGAGCTTGGAGAATGTGGTTCTGCCTGACAGCTTGCGGTCCTTGAGCTTCGGGTACGCTTTTAACCAGAGCTTGGCAAATGTGGCCTTGCCTGGCAGCTTGCAGTCCTTGAGCTTCGGGTACGCTTTCAACCAGAGCTTGGACAATGTGCTGTTGCCCGGCAGCTTGCAATCCTTGAGCTTCGGATATTTGTTCAACCAAAGCTTGGAGAATGTGGCCTTGCCTGGCAGCTTGCAGTCCTTGAGCTTTGGACGCGATTTCAACCAGATCTTGGAGAATGCTGTTCTGCCTGGCACCTTGCAGTCCTTGAGCTTCGGGCACTCTTTCAACAAGAGCTTGGCAAATGTGGCCTTGCCTGGCAATTTGCAGTCCTTGAGTTTCGGATATTGTTTCGACCAAATCTTGGAGAACGTCATTTTGCCGGGCAGCTTGCAATCCTTGAGCTTCGGAACGTCTTTCAACCAGAGCTTGGAGAATGTGTTGCTGCCTGGCAGCTTGCAGTCGTTGAGCTTTGAAGGCAGGTTCAACCAGAGTTTGGAGAAAGTCGTTTTGCCTGGCAGCTTGCAGTCCTTGAGCTTCGGCTACGCGTTTAACCAGAGCTTGGATAATGTGGCCTTGCCTTGCAGCTTGCAGTCCTTGAGCTTCGGAGAGTTGTTCAACCAAGGCTTCGAGAATGTGGCCTTGCCTGACAGCTTGCAGTCCTTGAGCTTCGAAGGCGGTTTCAACCATGGCTTGAAGAGTGTTGCCATGCTCGCCAGCTTGCAGTCCTTGAGCTTCGGAGGCGATTTCAGCCAGAGCTTGGAGAATGTAGGCTTTCCTGCCAGCTTGCAGTGCTTGAGCTTCGGCTACGCGTTTAACCAGAGCTTGGTTCATGTGGCCTTGCCTGGCAGCTTGCAGTCCTTGAGCTTCGGAGAGTTGTTCAACCAGAGCTTGGAGAATGTGGTTCTGCCTGGCAGCTTGCAGTCCTTGAGCTTCGGGTACGCTTTCAACCAGAGCTTGGACAATGTTGCCTTGCCTGGCAGCTTGCAGTCTTTGAGCTTCGGATATTGTTTCGACCAAAGCTTGGAGAACGTGATTCTGCCAGGCAGCTTGCAATCCTTGAGCTTCGGAACGTCTTTCAACCAGGGCTTGGAAAATGTGTTGCTGCCTGGCAGCTTGCAGTCGTTGAGCTTTGACGGCGAGTTCAACCAGAGCTTGGAGAAAGTGGTTTTGCCTGGCAGCTTGCTGTCCTTGAGCTTCGGCTACGCGTTTAACCAGAGCTTGGATAATGTGGCCTTGCCTGGCAGCTTGCAGTCCCTCAGCCTTGGATGCGGTTTCAAGCAGAGCTTGGCGATGGTGGCCTTGCCGAGTGGACTTGTGTGCTTTGATTGCTGGGGTTTTTCAGTTGTGGTGCACACATCCGGTCGAGTCCGGTCTGAAGAGGTGCAGTGAGCTCTGATTTTGACAACATCCGAACGCGGGGGCTTCTAGACCCTGCGCCCTGCACCCTAAATCCTAGCCCTAGACGATATATACCCTTCACGCCTGATCTGGCATCCGACATGCCCAGAATCCTGAAGCCCTCTAAAAAACTTGGAGGTTTAGGCCCTGAACCCTCCGTCCTCCACCCTCCTAGCGCCTAGGTTTCCTGGAGGCTCAGATCTTGGGGTCTGTACAGAAGTTGATAGTGCATGTACAGGGTTCATATTCAGGGTCCCTCCCGTTTCGGTGGGACTTTTCGAAACACTTTTCCGTATCACTGGTATCTAAGAGAAGCCCAAGATAGGAACAAATCTTCCTGAGACCATCGGGCCCCCTGCACCTAGCAGGCTTAGGGTTTGCAGGGTTTAGGGTTTAGGGTTTAGGGTTTAGGGTTTAGGGTTTAGGGTTTAGGGTTTAGGGTTTAGGGTTTAGGGTTAGGGTTTAGGGTTTAGGATTTAGGGTTTAGGGTTTGAGGTTCAGGATTTAGGGTTTAGGGTTTAGGCATGCTTAAGCTTTTGTTAATACTTAGCAATTGAGGAGAGCGCTTCTTCCACGGCACCAATGCTGTGGTGACGCTTGGCTTGTACTGAGTTTGGATCCGGCACAGGGTTTAGGGTTTAGTGTCCAGGGTCTAGGGTCTAGGGTCTAGGGTTTAGGGTTTAGGGTTTAGGGTTTAGCGTTTAGGGTGGCAGTGCATCGTTTCTTTTGGTCGTGGAGACATGCAGAAGTCTGCTGTTTCATCTTATGCGTAGGCAGTCGCATACCCCAAACCCTGTAACTGAGCACTAAAGCCTCAGGCCTGAGCCGTGAACCTTACGTGTGTCACACAGGGCTTAGGGTTTAGGGTTTAGGGTTTAGGATTTCGGGTTTAGGGTTTAGGGTTTACGGAGGGTTCGGAAGGTTTTGGGGGGAGGGGGTAGGGCGGCCTCCACTTGAGCCACATTATCGGCGTATGGGAACGAAGCCGTGCGTACTGGCTTCTGTGTAAGCAACGGCTTTCATTCATACTGAAATCTAGAGGGGCTCACCTGAGCTTGCTCCCTAAAGCTCAAACCCCAAACCCTAAACCCTAAACCCCATATAGGTGCCGTCAAGGAAGGGTCCCCCATGGATTCCGTCCCGGGACGGCTTCGATCCCATGACTTCGCTGACGGCGGAGGACTCCGCAACAGGGCATTGGACTTTTTACAGCTTGAGGGTTTAGGGTTTAGGGCTAGGGGTTCCGGGTTTAGGGTTTAGGGTTTAGGGCTTGGGGGGGTTCAGTTTTTGTCTCTTAGGGCGCCCGGCCCATTGCTCGAGTCGGGTCTTTCGCTGGAGCATCTTGAACCACCCTAAACCCTAAACCCTAAACCCTAAACCCTAAACCCTAAACCCTATAAACCCTATAAACCCTCAACCCTAAGAGGACTTCCGGATGATGCGCTCCGCCGGGCTCAACTTGATCCGGCTCGGCTCCACCCCCGGAGTATTTCTTTCTAGGGTTTGGGGTTTCGGGTTTAGGGTTTAGGGTTTGGGGTTTCGGGTTCTAGGGTTTGGGGTTTGGGGTTTATAGGGTTTAGGGGTATCGGGTCCGGGTGCATTTTGCGACAAGGCGTTTCTGCGGCATCTGGGTGGCTAAACCGTAATCCCTTTAGGGTTTAGGGTTTAGGGTTTAGGGTTTAGGGTTTAGGGTTTAGGGTTTAGGGTTTAGGGTTTAGGGTTTAGGGTGTGAGACACAAAGTAGGCCCCCATTGCCTTTTTTGTTGGACTTAGGTTCCTCTATCAGCCCCTTTAAACCGAAGAGGGCACCCTGTTGATTCCTAGTTTATTCTTGGGTCTCGTATCCCTTCAAGGGGTTCAAGCTCCTACCGCTAAGGCTGTGCCACCCCAAAGGGTTCCCCCAATATACTCCCAATATGTCCCTGCCATTCCCAGCGTCCCCATACCCAAGAGTACAACCCCTGGGGTCCATGGAAAGGTTTTAGGATTACGTTACCCTAAACCCCAAAAAACCCTAAACCCTGAACCCTAAACCCTGAACCCTAAACCCGGGAACTGACGACTGCTTGAGGTGTCATGTGGCCTGGGGTCGAGCCGGATCGAGGTGAGTGTGTGCTTGTGCAATATAAGGGCCTGCAGACGCTAAGCCCTCAACCCTGCACCCTAAAACCCCACACTCTACACCTAAACCCTAAACCCTAAACCCTAAACCCTAAACCCTAAACCCTAAACCCTAAACCCTAAACCCTAAACCCTAAACCCTAAACCTATGTCTACTTCTTGGTAGCCCAGTGGTACCCTTTCACTATTTTGTTGGGAGGTACCCTTCTAAAGCTTCGAACGCAAACAACAAAGAGGGTGCTCTTTGGGATGTTCCCCCCCTTATGCTAACAGTCCTTAAATAGGGATTGTAATAAGGAGTACTATGCCCCCCCCCCCCCCCCCAAAAAAAAAAAAAAAAATGCCCTTGTACTGCCAAGACTTTGGGCGGTCTAGGGTTTAGGGTTTGGGTTTTGGGGTTTGGGGTTTAGGGTTTAGGGCAGGCGTGTACAACGAGACTTACTTGAAGATCGTCACGGATCTGGCAGAGGAGGCGACTCCGTCTTTCTCGAGACCCCGACCCCTCTTCGGGTTTAAATTAGCAGGGACCTATTGTTAAGAGCATCTTCCTATCAAAGGTTGATAAATTGTTCGACACCATACGCCCTACACCGCAAGATTGCCATATGGGTCGGAAAAATCACCATGGTATTCCCTCATTCCCTTGGTTATATATTGATACCGAACCCGTATTCTAGTTTGTAAGGCCCCTACAAGGAGGGGCCCCCTTACTATACTAACTATAGTTAAGGGACTTATAACCTAATTTAGGATCCTTATGACACAATTTAGGGCCCTTATAACTCTACTTATAACTTTGGGGGCCCCTTCTTGTAGATTGGACCCGGTGACTAAATCCTGTCAACTGTCGTCGAGTTGCTGAGTTGCTTCTGGGGAGTCTGGGCCCCAACTGCCCACCCTGCATTTAACACACCTCCCCCTAAACCCTAACCGCTAAACCCGAAATGGACCCTAAACCCTGAACCCTAACCCCTTGGGTTTTCCTGAACCTTCCGGCTGATCCCGTGTTCACCTGGCCTTCTCTGACGTGCGCCATCGCACCTTGCTCAAAGGGACCACTCGCACCCACATGGGATAATGTCACTGGCGAGACACCGCATAAACTGAACTACCCTTTAAAGGCCCCTGAAGCCCGGAACCTTAAATGGCAGGCAGCATCTTACGGCGTCTACATCTTAGCAGACATGCACCAGGACCGCTTGATGAGATGAAGGCTGCCGGATCAAAAAACAATTGAAAAGGATCAACAAAAACACACAACCGAGGGTTTAGGGTTTAGGGAAGTGTTTAGGGTTAGTTTAGGGTTTAGGGTTCAGGATTCAGGGTTTAGGGTTTAGGGTTATAAAGGTTTAAGGTTTAGGGTTTAGGGTTTAGGGTTTAGGGCCTAGGGTTTAGGTTCTTTTTGTGATAACTGTTTTTTCTTGTTTTAAATCGGTTTTCCTTTATATATATATACATACATATGTATATATATATATATATATGTATTTTTCTTTGTTTTGTTTTGACCCCTATCCCTGAGCCGCTTGATGAAGCCTCATGGGTTTGGTCGCTGCAAGCATTGCGGGATCTCGGTCTAGGCTTTAGGGCTTAGGGTTGAGTCAGCCATGTACACACACACACACACTTACTTTTCGGGGTCTCCCTACACGTGTAGGGAAGGCAGAAATATCGTCAATGGCAGAGCTGCCAGCTGCTATGCTAAGCCCAAGCACACCCCCAGTTTCATGAGCTGCCAGCTGCTGTTAGGCTCTTCGTTGGCCGCCCCCTAACAGTGGGTGGAGCGGCCCCCTGCGTACATCTTAAATGAACTCAAAACGACTGATGTGATTTGCTCTGACCCTTGGTCCAACAGGGTTTTGTGCACGCACACACACACACAGGGCTATGCCTATCCGTCTGTCTATCTATCAGTCTACTGGAATATGTATGTATAGTACTTATAATGACAAGTATAGATGCGATTCCACAATAGCTAGTATCCTTCAAGGGCTCCTGTAACCCTTTATACTTGGGCCCTAAAGCTACTATATAGGAGGTACACAGACCCTTTGAGATCCACAACAACCCCCCCCCCCCCCCCCGCCCCCCCTTACTACACTAACTGTAGTCAAGGGAGCCTAATGACCGAATTTAGGATGGCTCACCTATTACTCAATTTCAGGTCCTTATCCCCCAATTTGGAGTCCGTATGTTTCTACTTATAACTAGGGGGGGGCCTCCTTGTAGGAGGTACATTGAGCCTTTTTGGATCTAGATGGGATTTCCGACAATAGGGTGTACCTTATTGTACCCATATTAGGGGTACCCTATTTTCGTAAACCCCCAGATCTGTACCCTAAACTCTAAACCCTAAACCCTAAACCCTAAACCCTAAACCCTAAACCCTAAACCCTGATCTGTAAATCTCCATCTACAGCATCGGATCCTGCTCCCCCCCAACTCGAAGCCCCCCAACTCGAAGCCCCCAAAGCGGAGGACGGCCTGTCAGAAAGGTTCTGTGGAGAGGGGGTGCCTCTTTGGGCCCCTTGGGTTTATGGGGTTTAGGATTGAGGGTTTAGCAGGGTTTAGGATCTAGGGTTTAAGGGTTTAAGGGTTTCAGGGTTTCAGGGTTAAGGGTGTAGGGTTTACGGTGTAGGGCCGAAGGTTTGAGCATCAGAGAGGGAATTCCTTTGCATTAGGCTCCCCTAAGAGGTGCCCATATCGTTACTGATACTTGTAACTGGGAGCCTACAACTTTCACCCCAGAATCCCCCCCCCCCACCAACCCAAATGGTTAATTCCTAAACCCTAAACCCTAAACCTCCTGAGCCCGATGTCGTCGACCCCAGAGTCTAACCGTGTGGTGCGAGAGACTGTAACTGCTGCCGGGTCTACGGCATATAGAATTTAGGGTTTAAGGTGTAGGGCATATAGAGTTTAGGGTTTAGGGTTTAGCGTTTAGGGTTGCTTTAGGGTTTGGGGAGTATAGAGTTTAAGGTTGAGGGTTTCGGGTGCAGCTGTTTCAGGGTTTGAGGTTGCAAGGCTTTAAGATTTGGAGGGTCTGGGGCGGTTCGGGGGAGGTGGGGGGCGGGGGGGGGGCAACCCTAAACCCTAATCCGTAAACCCTAAACCCTAAACCCTAAATCCTAAACCCTAAACCCTAACCCTAAACCCTAAACCCTAAGCACTCACCGAGGCAGTCCCCAAGGAGCACACGTTCCCGCTGCCCCTCGGGCTGCCTTACCGTGGACAAGGCGACTGAGACCTGAGATCTCAAGGAGGGGGTTTAGGGTTTAGGGTTTAGGGTTTAGGGTTTAGGGTTTAGGGTTTAGGGTTTAGGGTTCAGGGTTCAGGGTTCAGTTTTTAGGGTTTCTTACTCTCACAACCCCAAACCGGGTCAAACCTATACGGTAGGTTTCCTAAGAATCCTACAGGGTGTCAAGCTATACTTGAAGAGCCCTAGGATGCCCCAGGCCTCATTTTTTCTTGGTACGCTACCTAAAAATTCTTAGAAGTAGACTAGGTAACCTTTAACCTTTTTGGGGCAGTATAATCCCCTTATAATCCCAAAGGTTAACCTTTAATTCCCCCAGGTTTCTGGACAACCTGAAATCCCAAAAGGGTTTTCGCGACAAGAACCTGCACAAAAGGTAAGCATTTGGGTTCTTAAGGTAGGGGTTGAGGTTCCTTGAGGCCCCGATCCCAAAAGCCCAAACCCTAAACCCTAAACCCTAAACCCTAAACCCTAAACCCTAAACCCTAAACCCTAAACCCTAAACCCTAAACCCTAAACCTTCAAACCCTAAACCCTAAACCCTAAACCCTAAACCCTAAACCCTAAACCCTAAACCCTAAACCCTAAACCCTAAACCCTAAACCCTAAACCCTAAACCCTAAACCCTAAACCCTAAACCCTAAACCCTAAACCCTAAACCCTAAACCCTAAACCCTAAACCCTAAACCCTAAACCCTAAACCCTAAACCCTAAACCCTAAACCCTAAACCCTAAACCCTAAACCGAGACCTGTCCATGCAGGTAATGACGGCCTTCCGACACGCAGCCAATGCGCCAAGCACATGTGGTACACGTACCAGGCAGCTTATGCTTCAGGACCCGGGCTGCCAACCTTCAGTTCAATGATGAGGGCTTAGGGTTTAGGGTTTAGGGTTTAGGGTTTAGGGTTTAGGGTTTAGGGTTTAGGGTTTAGGGTTCGGGGGGGTTAAAGATGTGCTTCTCGCAGACTCTCAAGGAACTGGTCCAATCCCCCCCCCCCCCCCCCCCCTTTTGCAAAGTGCCCTCCCCCTTTCTGGCCTGCTGACTAGTTGGGGTGGACGTGAGGATCCACTGAGTCCTCTGTTAAGACTAGGTCTAAGTTGCACACCCTAAGCCGCGGTTCTACTGAATCTTCTCACAGTCGGTGTACGGGCAGAATCTTAAGCCGCCCAACCTGATTGCATGCAAGCAGAAACACCGTAGAACACCGTACCAGGCGGCTGAATACCTTGGGGTTTCGCAACCCCAGGGCTTGTGTGGAACCCTCTAGCTCCCTCCACGTCCGCAGGAGCTGCGTACGAGCGTCTCTACACCAACCAGGCGGGGCTGTGTCATGTGACCCAGGGAACCCGCTGCTTGGAGCCATGCGGCAAAGACTTGGGCGTGCAAAACATACAATATACAACTTACCATATACAAGATTTAACATATAATATAGAATATGTAATATACAATACAGGTTATATACAGAATCAAAGAGAAGATAGCATCACCCACGAGCTGTGCAGCTTGTCCTTGTTTCTCACTTGAAACCCTGCGGCATGTGGCAGGGTTGCTAAGAAGTGAACCCTAAACCCTAGCCCCTAAACCCTAAACCCTAAAACCTAAACCCTAAACCCTAAACCCTGAGCCCGTGGGCTGAGCCATTTTAGGGCTCGGGGTTTGGGGGGCGGAGCTCCCTTCCAACTTCTAAACCCTAAAGAAGTTGGAAGGGAGCTCCGCCCCCCAAACCCCGAGCCCTAAATTGGCTCAGCCCCAGGGGCTCCGGGTTTAGGGTTCAGGGTTTAGGGTTTAGGGTTTAGGGTTCCGGAGTTTCATGGGTTTCGAACGTAAACACCCTAAGCCCCTTGCGCCCTAAACCCGAAACCTGAAGCCCTACTAGCCCGAAGCCCCGAACCCCCGGTTTAGGGTTCAGGGTTCAGGGTTTATGGTTTAGGGTTTAGGGTTCACGGTTCAGGGTTTAGGGTTTGGGGTTAATGGAAGCCCTCGTCTTATGAGGCCACAGCGGAAGCCTTTCCACTTGAGGGGCCCTACCTGTAGCCCTGGAACGCTCCTAAACCCTAAACCCTAAGCCCTAAACCCTAAACCCTAAACCCTAAACCCTAATTGGGGGTTTGGGCGTGGGTTGGGGGGTGGGCTCCCTTCGCCTCTGGGTGCAGGACAACTTGACAGATGCCTGGGGAGCTTTTTGGGCCAAGGCACTTTTGACCTTCCTTCTGCGCGGGCTTGCTGAGAGAGCTTCTGGGAATCCTAAACCCTAAACCCTAAGCCCTAAGCCCTAAGCCCTAAACCCTAAACCCTAAACCGGGGTTGGGGGGCTTGGGGAATTTTCGAGTGGAAGGTTGGAAGGCTTGAGGTATGTTTAGGAGTTCAGTGATTCGGGTTTAGCGTTTAGGGACTTAGGGACTTAGGGGCTTAGGGCTTACGGGGGTGCATGTGGACCATGGTGGCACTACACCGAGGCCTTTAACTTCAAAGGGGGATGCTTGTGTGATGAGTCGGAGGGCTTGACTTGGCAAGTGTTCCTTGAGCCTTATTAGCCGTGGTAAGCAAGGACTCTCAGAATCTCAGTACAAGTAGTTAAAACCAATATCAACAGGGGCCTTGATAGCCATACTTATACCCAGTTGCTCCCCCCAAAAAAACCGAAGCACTAAACCCTAAAGGTGTGTCGTCCGAATGTTTCTCAAGATTCAGTCGCTGAACTCCCTGAGCCCGAAGTACCCTTCAAGGTTTAGGGCAACACAAAAGCAACATCGGGTTTAGGGTTTAGGTGTATAGGGTTTAGGGCTGACATGGGTTTGGCTCTGTCCGAAGCCCCAAACCCTTTAACACCCCAAAAGTCTTTGTCGAGTTCACCCGAAATGCTACACCCTATACAACCCTAAACCCTAAACCCAAACCCTAAACCCTAAACCCGTTGCGGGAGGTCCTGCAGAGCTTCAAAGGGTCCCAATCCCTTCTCGGGGTGAACATCATCAACGAGCCTTTCGTGGGCAACCCCTACAAGGACGGAAATGGGTTTAGGGTTTAGGGTTTAGGGTTTGGGGTTTACGGTTTAGGGTTTCGGGTTTCGGGCTTCGGGTTTAGGGTTTGGATTCGGGCTTATGGGGTTTAGGGTTTACGGCTTACGGCCTTTGAGGCTTACAGGGCTTGTAGGGCATATAGTGCTTATAATATGGGCATTTCCGAAAACAGGGGTACCCTTTTTCGGGCTCCCATTAAGGGGATTCTATTCTATTTTGGAGTATAAAAGGGTAGCCCTATTCTCGGAAACCCCCATATGGCCTACAGGCCTTACAGGCTTTCGGGTCTAGCGCAAATGTTCAACCCTGCGAAGCCTTAAACCCCAAACTCCAAACCCTAAACCCTAAACCCTAAACCCTAAACCCTAAACCCTATACCCTAAACCCTAAACCCTAAACCCTAAACCCTAAACCCTAAACCCTAAACCCTAAACCCTAAACCCTAAACCCTACCGCTCAGGATCCGGCGCTGATGGTCCCAGAGGCCGCCGATCGCCTGCGGCTGCAGCCTGCCTACGACATCGTGGCGCGCCACATCCGAGCTGCCCGACGGTGTAAGGTTAGGGTTTAGGGTTTAGGGTTTAGGGTTTCGGTTTAGGCTTTGGCCTTTGGGTTTTACGCTTTAGGGCACGCAGGCTAGGACCAGCCAGTTGCGTACCACCCGGTTTAGGGTTTAGGGTTTAGTTTTTAGGGTTTAGGGTTTAGGGTTTAGGGTTTAGGGTACTGAACATGATGACTCTCCAAGCCTCCAACTGACACTGACCTTGAAAAGCCCCCCACCCCACAAAATCCCTTGATTATCGGGACCTTCAGGGAGGGGGGTTCATGGGGGGTAGGTACTCAGGGAAGCTTAGAAAGCCTTAGTCGCCTTAGGGAGCAGTGGGGAGTATTTGCGAATCTTGGGTTCCATGCGCCCTTGATCCCCCCTCCTTTTCTCAGGACCCTATACGTGAGACCCAGCCCAGAGCCCTGGAAACCCTAAGCCCACGAAGCCTAAACCCTAAACCCTAAACCCTAAACCCTAAACCCTAAGCCCACGAAGCCAAAAGCTAGGCCGCTGACCCTGACTCCATCATCTTCTTCCCCGGGACGACATCGGATCGCGGCTCGGAGGTCAAGAGAACGGGACTTGCAGAAGTTGGGTTTGGGGCTGCCGGGGTCGAGGGTCTTCGGGTTTAGGGTTTAGGGTTCAGGGTTTAGGGTGGTTTCCAAGGGACGGTCTTCGTTTATTTGGTCACGCAAAGTACACCCAAAGGTGAAGGGTATATAGGCCATGAACACGGAAAGGTGAATTGCTTCCCAAACTTCGAAAGTTATGACCCCAAACCCTAAACCCTAAACCCTAAAACCCTAATCCCTACACCCTGCTAGGATTCTTAGGTCACCTGCAAAGAGCAGTAGGCTTCGGGGTCCTATGGTTAACCTTAAGAAGCTGAGCCGGCTTGAGGTTTTAGGGTTTAGGGTTTAGGGTTTTGGGCTTCTTATGCCAGAGCTTTTTCGGGAGCTCAGACTTGGTAAATCTCGAACCAGTTGGCCCAAAGGGCCCATGCACCTACACAGCCCAGGCTTGGGCCGTAAAAGGGGTCCCTATGTAGTAGTTTTCGGACCCAACTATATATACATATATATATATATATATACTATATGGGTACATGGACCCTAACCCCAAACCCTAAACCCTAAACCCTATACCTGGGCAAAGTCTGAGGTACGGGCAGGCCCTACACGGATTTCCTCCCGCAGGGCTTCCAGCATGCGCCCGGCGGGAAGGATCGTTTAACCCCCCCCCCCGTACTTGGAGGTTCATGGTGCTTATGGGGTTTAGTGTTTAGGGTTTAGGGTTTACTTGGAGGTTCATGGTGCTTATTCACCAATTAAAGTTGTACTTATAACCACTTGCAAGCCCCTTAAGTGCCCTAGGATGGTCATAAGTACAGTTATATGTAGAGATACAACTGGCTAATGAGTACCCTGAACCTCCAAGTGATCCCCGTAAACTCCTAAACCCCAAAACCTGCTAAGCCCTAGGCCCCTAAACCTGAAACCCCAAATCCCATCCCTAATCTTCCCAGGTGCAGTGTTCGGAGCTGACCCCCTAAACCCTCAACCCTACACTCTAAACCCTAAACCCTACACCCCCTTAAACCCCCTAAACCTTCAGCAAGAGTTCACAAAGTCCAATTCCTTCGGAGCTGTCGGGCCCCTTATACTGGAGGTTTTGGCGTTGAGGTTTCAGGGTCTGAAGGTACGGGCTTAGTGGTTGGATGGGTGTTGGGTTGGTCTCGGTGAGGACTGCCATCCTCAACCCTCCACTTTGGGTAAAGGTTGGGTGGTTCCCCTTTATACTAACAGTCCTTAATTACTTGGGGTACTATAATCCTTAATGAGGACTGTTAGTATAAGCGGGAACATCCCAAGGTAAAGGTTTCCAAGCGCTGGCACTGTGGTGATGGCTGCAGGAGTTCGCCGACCGCGCAGTCAACTCTTTCCATTACTACACACCTCCTCAGTCGGTGTCTGACTCAATTGTGGCTTTTAAGCCCTCAGGGACGCAGAATTTAGTCCCCCAAATAGGAGGATTCCCTTATATACATGAAGGACCATAATATGGTATTCCTAAGTTCGGAAACTCCCATGTACCCATCAAGAGCATATTGTCTGCTTCAGGGATTGGTCCGTCATGCAAAACCTGCATGCCCCTTTCTCCTAGCTCCTGCAGCACAATCGCCTTGCACAACTGCAAGCCATACAGTATATACTTGAACCCTAAAACTACTACATAGGGACCCCATCAAGCCTTCGAGGCCCAAGTATAACATACTGTAGAGGTACATGGACTCTTTGGGAAGGTGATGGTTCGTGTAGTGCGTTCCCAAAAGAATACTGGATCGTAAGCCCTAAACCCTAAACCCTAAACCCTAAACCCTAAAACCCCTTGAACAAGAACCCCTCTGTCCAAATGAGCCCCCACCGGGTCTAGGTGACCCCGGAGGCCAAGGGGCCAGTAGGGGGCTTAGGTTTTTCGACTTAGATGTGGGGCCTCAGGTTGTACCCCTACAGGTTCCCCTTAATGGGCTCCGAATATGGCCCTTATATTCCTGAAGGATCCTTGAATAGGGGCCCCAAAACCCAGGGTAAAAGCTTGGTCCAAGGTAGGGGTCAGTTCTTGGCTGCCTGTTTTTGACAGAAGCCTCTCCACTCCGCCTACGCAACCCTCGCAATTGCACCCAGCCCCTACCCCGCGACACAGAGACTCCAAAATAGAAGTTGAAAGGAATTCTCTGAATCGCAGCGCAATCGTCGCAGGACGGAAGAAACGAGAAACACATACTGCGATGTAGTCACACTATGTTACCTCATCGTGATGAACATGACATGAAGGATGCTAGAATCCCGAGACGCGGAAACCCTCAACAGGTTCGCTTCCGAAGTCCCTCGCACTGCCTAGGACCTAGGACCCGGACGAGGCCTTTATTCCTTTTTGTTAAGGGTTTCGGTTCCGTTACCCTAAACCCTAAACCCTAAACCCTAAACCCTAAACCCTAAACCCTAAACCCTAAACCCTAAACCCTCTAAACCAAAAAGGGCAGCACTTTTGATTCCGGTTACGCTTGGGTCTGCACAGGTGGGTGCCTAGTAGCTTGGCCTCGGGGTGGGAAGTCTGACAGCATCGGGTAAGTAGCATGCTTCACCCTTTAGGCCTACAGGGTATAGTGAAGGCCTTTGGGTTTTAGGGTTTAGGGTTTAGGGTTTAGGGTTCGTGGGGCTTAGAGGGCTGTTTAGGGTCAGGCTTTAGGGTAACTTATAGGGTTCGTACTTACGGCAAATCGGGGTTTGTGGTAATTAGGTTTTGGGGTCCTAAACCCTAAACCCTAAACCCTAAACCCTAAACCCTAAACCCTAAACCCTAAGGCTTATATTACAGGGGTGACTCCGCCCAGGACAGCCACGTGAAGCAATACTTCCAAAAGCGCATCAAGGAGGGAGGTTCAGGGTTTGGGGGTTTGGGGGTTTAGGGGTTCAGAGGTTTAGGGTTTGGGGTTTAGGGTTTGGGGTTTAGGGTTTGGGGTTCAGGGTTCAGGGTTTAGGGTTTAGGGTTGTTTAACTGGGGTTCAGGGTTCAGGGTTTAGGGAGGTCTCTTTGCTGAGTCCTCACACATACATGCACTTCACCTCTAAACACAACCGCGTCCGAAACCCAATCGATACCCTCAATCACTAACTCCCAAACCCTGGCCCCAAGGGTCCATGAACCTGTATATACTATGTACTTGGGCCCCCTTGGGCTTTAAAGGGGTCCTTATGTGGGAGTGTGAGGCAGCCCTCCCCTTCACCGCCGTGCAAGGGTTGTCGATTTAGGCCCTTCTCGATGGGCGGGAGGGGGTCCTAAACCCTAAACCCTAAACCCTAAACCCTAAACCCTAAACCCTAAACCCTAAACCCTAAACCCTAAACCCCAAACCCTAAACCCTAAACCCTCTTGCGTGCAGTGCAACCAGGAGCATCGGTATTTACAGCGTTCTTGCTGCTGGGCCTTGTGGCTTCTTCTCAAGATGTTTGCCAAAATCGTCGATTTCTCTCGTCGTTTTCACTCTTTGACGGAAAAAAGCTGTTTTTGCCCCGTTTTCATTTTTTGGGGGGGGAGGGGGCAGGTCATGCTTCCAGAATGCTCGGTATTTTAGGCGTCTGGGCTACTTGTCGATGCTATTTTTCCTTAAGCCCTAAACCTTAAACCCTAAGCCCGAAACCCGAAAAGCCTTTGGGCAAGCTTTAGGGTTAGGATTCAGGGCTTAGGGACCCAAAGCCCTCTAGGCCTGAGCCCAAACCCTACGTAAAGCCCTAAAACCCCGAGCCCTGACTGAAACACTAAGCCCTAAAGCCCTCAACAAAGCTAAAATGCCAGAGCCCTAAAGCTTGAGCCCTAAAGCCGCCACACAGCCACACCACCCCCCGCACTGTAACTTCAAAACCTTGAGCTTTGCAAAGCTAAGCCCTAAAGCCTTAAATCCCTAAACACCCTAGGCCGCAAACCCTTAAAACCAACCCACAGCCACACCACGGGGGGGGGGGGGGGGCGAGGAGGGAAACCCGACGCCACAAGACTCTAAAACCCTAAACACCTTGGACAAAAGCCCCCTAAAACCAACCCACAATCACGCCACGGGGGGAAGGGGCGAGGGAGGGTTGGGGGGGGGGGGTGGGCGGAGCGCCTTATCATACATGTGTATTATATATAGGTGACAGAGAGACAGAAACAGTCAGCCTTTGCGTCGTTGGGTAGCTTCTGTGATGATTGGGAACCTGGTCAATCCCTACAGTAGAGAAGGATGGTAGGCGGGCATTCAGCCGTTCACGTGTGCCCTAGAAGGGGCCAGAGGTGCTGTAGCAGGCCCAGTGCGCACCCACTTGCTGGTGGCTGTGGCACATTTGATTGCCGCGGGCCTCCATCACGAAGCAGCCGCCCTCCAAGCACGCCACCAAGAGCTGGACACCAAGCAGAGATGCAGCTGTCAACTGACATCAAACACCTGAGGAGGTTGCACATCTTTTCTGTCAGCACAGCTCCCAAGCTTGGCAGTTTTGGAGCAGAGCACATTGCTGGAAGATGATCCTTGGAGAAAGCTTGGATGCAAGCTGAAGCCCAAATAGCCTAAGTTTAGGGTTCAGGGTTTAGGGCTTAGGGTTTAGGATTTCGGGACTAAACCCTATCGGGAGGGCCCTTGAAGTTCTTGGTAGAGTCGCGACGGACCCCAGATGGGCATGAATTCCTAAATCGCTTAGGCTATACGTCCTCTAGCAGGTAGCATAGTGCAAATCTTAACTAAACCCTAAGCCCTAAACCCTAAGCCCTAAACCCTAAACCCTAAACCCTAAACCCTAAACCCTAAGCCCTAAGCCCTAAACCCTAAACCCTAAACCCTAAACCTAATCCCAACAGCTAGGTTACATGCCCCCTAGCTACCGCATTGTGGGGAGGATGCCCGACGCTTGGAGACTGGCCTCTTCCTGACGGCCCCGCGGCCTTAATGAGGGTTTAGGGTTTAGGGTTTAGGGTTTAGGGTTTAGGGTTTAGGGTTTGGGGGTTTGGGGGTTTGGGGGTTTGGGGTTTAGGTGGTTTGCTTCACTTCAGAGATGTGAGGCTTCGGAAGATTTCCGGCAGAAGAGCCTGACTTGAACAAAGCCGGCTTCAGGTTCAGGGTGTAGTTTCTTTTCAAACACGACATATTCTTTCAACCCTCAACCCTACCTGGCCCTTAAGTGCGTTCCTTTTCGGTATTTGTTGATCCGTGCTGCAAAAATTGGGTTACCTCCCCCTCCCCCCCGTCCCCCCCCTTCCCCCCCCCTTCCCCTCCTACCCCCCCCTCCCCCCCTTCCGCCGAGTTTAGGGGTGGACGTTCACGGATTTCGTTTTAGGGGTTGAGTCAAAGGGTGGCTTAGGGCTCTCTCTCCTGCCTGGCGTGTACTCTTTACTTGGAGGGGTAAAGTTCCGAATGTAGCAAAGATCTCAAAACCTAGGCCTGTATGAGTTTTGAGTTTTGAGGATTTAGAGGGCTTGGAGGGTTTCAGGAAATGCGGTCTTTGGGTTTTTTTTGCGAACCTAAACGCTAAACCATAAACCGGTAACCAATTTGAGTTAGTTCCTCTTCCACCGAGTTCGAACGCCCACCCACAAGGAGGGGCCCCCTTACCATACTAACTATAGTTAAGGGACTTATGACCTAATTTTGGATCCTTATAACCCAATTTTAGGGCCCTTATAACTCTGCTTATAACTTTGGGGGGCCTCTCCTTGCAAGTGAGGAGTCGTGCTGCGAGAAGTTCTTCCACAAGGTCGCACCCGTGGCGGAGTCCCTCGGTATGCCTCTCGGCTCGAACTCTCCGAGATTTTACCCTAAACCCTAAACCCTAAACCCTAAACCCTAAACCCTAAACCCTAGGGCTTAGGGGTTGAGGGTTTAGGGCTTATACATGGTTGCAGACTTGGAGTGTTCAGGGACATCGCGGTTGAAGACTTTGAATCCGTGCTTCCAGCTACTCAGGGGACGCACAACCTCTTCATCAAGGAATATACCGTAGACTCCGTAGACGATGTTGGGATCCTTGTTGTGTTCTAACCTTGAGGGTCCTTCTACCCATATAGTATATACTTGGGGCCTATAAAACTACTACGTAGAGACCCCTTTAAGGCCCAAGTCTATACTATGTAAAGTACATGGACCCTTTGGGCAAGTTAATCATCAATTCAGGGATTTGGGGTCCTCGGACCGACCGTCGAGAGAGTCTCCTGAAGCCATATCGTGCAGGTGACATAACGTCGAGAGGTGAAAGCCCTTCTGCAAGCCTTTCCCCCTTAATTACGCCAATTCGGCCTTGTAAGCCCTTTGCCTGAACCCTACCGACTTCAGCCTGGATATATTGAAGCCCTAAACCCTAAACCCTAAACCCTAAACCCTAAACCCTAAACCCTAAACCCTAAACCCTAAACCCTAAACCCTAAACCCTAAACCCTAAACCCTGTTCTGTTTAGGGTTTACCCGCCAGGAGCTGGATCCACTGGGAGTGGAAGCAGTTCTTTCGGGAGACGGAGGCGTTTCGGTGACAGCATACTCAAGCAGAAGCAAGCTGTTGCGGTTTATTGTTTAGGGTTTAGAGTTTAGGGTTTAGAGTTTCGGGTTTAGAGTTTAGGGTTTAGGGTTTAGGGTTTAGGCTTTAAAGGGTTTAGGGTTTTCGGCTTATACAACCCTAAAGATCCACGGCACCTATGTAGTAGATGCTTTGGGCCCGAAGGCTGCGATGTTGGGCCCGAAGGCTCAAGCTCATAATGCGATGTAGGGTTTAGGGTTTAGGCTTAGGGTTTAGGGTTTAGGGTTTAGGGTTTAGGGTGTACGTGGGCACTTTGGGAAAGGAAGCAACCCACACGGAAGCCGTTTTGACTTAGTAAATAGGGTTAGTATGCTGGGCTATGGGGATTCTAAGAGGGTTTCTGGGGGGATGCAACATAGACTTCATCATTCAAAAGGAGCTTCCGAGTAGAGGCTGCTGGAGAAGCTTCCCTAGGTAGGCCCTTGGGAAATTTTATGCTTTCCCTTATTGGGTTTAAGAGGCTTATATACCCTAAACCCTAAACCCTAAACCCTAGACCCTAAACCCTAAACCCTAAACCCTAAACCCTAAATATTTTTAGGGGGGCCTTTAAGGGCCATCCTAGATCCAGTCTTGTCTGGGCTCCCTTGAGCCATTGCCATCGGTGAAAGTGTTTCCGTGCGCCCTCAAACTCGGTAGCGCAGCCCATCCTAACGATTCCAAGGGGTCTAGGGTTTAGGGTTTAGGGTTTAGGGTTTAGGGTTTAGGGGGTTTTTCAGGGGTTTAGGGGTTTAGGGGTTTAGGGGGTGTAGGGGTTGAGGGGTTTAGGGTTTAGGGGTTGAGGGGTTGAGGGGTTTCGGGGTTTAGGGGTTTAGGGGTTTAGGGGTTTAGGGGGTTTAGGGGTTTAGGGGTTTAGGGGTTTTGGGGGTTTGGGGGTTTGGGGGTTTGGGGGTTTGGGGGTTTAGGGTTTTAGGGGTTTAGGGGTTTAGGGTTTAGGGTTAAACTCCCTAAGCCCCAAACCCTGAACTCCTAAACCCTGCAGAGCCCAAAACGTCTGCTGTCACACTTATCTTCTCATCTTATTCACTCTTAGTAGGGGAATGAGGGGATTAGGCACCTTTTCATAGCATTCTTTTTACAACTAAGACTTCTGAGGGTCCATGTACCTATATAGGAATACTTGCCCCTTTGGAGGATCCTAAACCCTAAACCCTAAACCCTAAACTCTAAACCCTAAACCCTAAACCCTAAACCCTAAACCCCTAAGTGATGGAAGCCAGGCGTCGCGCACGTCGCCGGACCAGAATGCCGCCTTTGGCGCCGACAAAACAGGCTGCGGAGGCCGATGGCTTCATTTTTGGGAAGGATTTGGGGTTTAGGGTTTAGGGTTTAGGGTTTGGGGTTTAGGGTTTAGGGTTTGGGGTCCTAAACCCTATAAAGTGTTTCACATACCCTGTTTTTGCGGAAAGTTACTAAGTGCAATGCCGCCACAGTCGGGTGTGTTACTAGTAATGCTTTGTTGTTTAGTGCAGCAAGGAAACATTTTGTGGGGCGGGGTCAGGTCATGTGCCCTTATTGCCAGGCAAGGGACTCACAGCAACACCGGATGCTTGAATGCCCGCACTTCCAACCTCTCAGGGAGTCGTTGCCTAATGACTTCTTGTCGTCTCTCGCAAGGCCAGCTTTGCTCAGAGGACTCTGGGTCATTCCGCCAGAGTGTGCTAAATTGCAGGAAGCACTGGAGGCATTGCCGCCGCCAGCGCACAACGTGTTTTTTGAGGAGCACATTTGTTTGTTTACTGATGGGTCCACTTACGACAGCACGGGCATTCCGCGTAGTGCGTGGGCAGTGGTGTGTACGCGAGAGGGTTCCCTTGACAATGCGATTGTTGAGTCAGCGTGCCTGTGTGGGAAGCAAAGCAATCCAAGAGCAGAGCTCACTGCAGTGCTGGTGGCGTTCCAACATGCGGTGACGGCAGACATTTACTCAGATGCCCTCGGGGTGGTCAGGGGTGTTCGTCGTTTGTTGAGGGAGGGGTGGCGATATAAGTACTGGGGAAAGCAGGTGAATCTTGATCTGTGGTGGTTGGCTTGGCAGCAGATTTTTTCCAAACCCGGGCCTTGGAAAATATTTCATGTGAAATCCCATTCGGACCATCGAATGGCTGTTGATCAATTTAGCAAGTGGACATTCTGGCATAACGCAGCTGCGGATGAAGCAGCCAAGGCTGCCCACTTGAAAAGAAGCGTGGAGTTGAACCAATGCTTTGAGCAGGCATCAGCCGCAGCTGCTTCCCAACGTCACGCTGCCGCTAAACTCTTTGCATTCCATGAGGGAGTGGTGAAACAAGCTGGAGGTGATGAAAATCCCCAGGTGCTTTCCGTGGGTGGGTTAGGGTTTGGGGTGGGTGGAGATGGACAAATTGACCTTATCAGGGATTTGGGCGGCGTGCAAGTACAGACGTGTGTCCAACCTTTGCTGGAGTTCGACGATTGCTTGATGGGCCCGCGTTTTCTGTGGGTACTGCAGAAGTTTTTCTTGTCTCAGTCATGGAAGCAAACACAGTCGCCTGTGTCAGTGCTGGAAATATATCTCGAATTTGTGGCGCAAACCGGCTGGATCGCACCAGCCAACACAGCTAAGATGGAGTCTGCGACATTGCCTCTACGCCATCGAAATAGCATCCCGTCTTCGTGGGTTCATGAATCGGAATACCCAGCTCTCAAGCTTTGTCGGCCTGCGCTCGGGAAGCAGGTAGCCGTCTTTCTGCATGCGATTAAAGAACTGTTCAAGCGCACGCAAGCTGAGCATAGCGTTGTACAGGAAAAGGCCTTGAGTGTCATAGGTCTTTCAAGACGAGTGCCGGCTCTTTATATCTGTCCAATGACGATAGATGCACAGGCTATCCGGCTGAAGTCTGTTATTGGGAGTGACAAGTACGACTTAGTCGTTAAACGGCCGTAATCGCCTCCAGCTAATGTCTTTCAAAGTTGCCCTTTGCCAGTTGTGGATCCACAAGTTGTGTGGAATTTATACTGCCAACGCCACAGGCAGCGAAGGCGGTGATCTCTTAGTTTTCTGCAGTCAATTGATAATTCACTTCTTCGCTAAGGATCTCTTGCGTTCTTCTCGCATGGGACGTCCGATGACATCTTGCATAAACCCTATAAAGCCTAAACCCTATACTGCCCCATGATTTTATCCCTGCGCATGTCATGTTTTAAACCAAACCCCAAAATACCCATGTTAGTAAGAGAGGCCGCTGCACGGGGGGAGCTTATGGCTCAAGGATTAGGGTTTAGGGTTTTAGGGTTTTGGGCTTTAGGGTTTAGGGTTTAGGCCAGCGATTGATTGTGGTGGAGTCCGGCTTGGTGATAGCGTGAACCACCATCTTGCACTTGCAGACAGTTGGAGATGTTTAGGGCTTCTGGGTGGTTTATGGGTGAAGGGAGAGAGCTTGGGGGTTTTCCAGGGCCCAGCCCAGCAGAGACTTTTTCTCTCAAGGGGCTCTACTTGGTGTGAAGGGTCTGTTGGGAGTTGGGGGGTTGGGGGTTTGGGTGTGGGGCTTCGGGTTTTGTGGGTTTAGGGTTCGGTGACCAAGCGGCTGAGAAGGAGAAGAGGATCTCAGTATCGATTGAGCCAGATGGCTAGGTCGACTCTTCTGCCCGAAGTTGACTTCACAGCCGCGATTGAGTCTTGAAACCTCAAAACCCTACTACTACTACTGGCTTCAGAACCCACCCCCCCCAAAAAAAAAACAAAAAAAAACAAATCTAAAGTGACAATCCCTATAGTGCCCTTATATGATGTAGTGTTTTTTTTTGTTTTTTTTTTGGGGGGGTGGGGGTGGTTCTTATGCAAATAGTAATAGTAGTTATCCCCTGCACCTTTCGAGGCTGGCCATTTCAGCACGGCGACTCTCGGCAGGGCAATGCAGGCTCTGAGAGGCTTCCGGAGTCCCTAAACTTCAAGCCAAACCCCCTAACCTCTTGGTTTAGGGTTTAGGGTTTAGGGTTTAGGGTTTAGGGTTTAGGGTTTAGGGTTTAGGTTCCACCCTAAACCCCTAAAGCCCTGAACCCCTAACCCCCTAAGCCCTACTTGACTTGTGGGGTTGAGGGCTTTGGGTTTAGAGTGAAGGATTTCGGGAATCCAAGGCATCAAGTAGCAGCAGTTGGGTCGGGGCCCTTGTTCTGGAAACGTCGCGTCTGAGGGGGCGCCTGGGCACCAGAGGTTTCAAGTTGCAGCGTTTAGAGGCTTAGGGGTAAGGTATGGGGTTTGGGGTTTAGGGTTTAGGGTCTAGGGTTTAGGGTTTAGGGCTTAGGGCTTCAGGCTTAGGGTTTAGGATTCAGGGCTTAGGGTTTAGAGTTGCAGCGTTAAAGTATGCTAGTTTTAGGGTTTAGCGGGCCTGCCTGGGCCCTATCTGTAGTTTTTTCGACCTCATGGTCTAGTAGGGTATTATACTGCAAAGGGCGTTATCCTGCAAAGAAGAAGCAGAATTATGAGTCTAGGTAAAGATGACAACTTCCTTGGCCTACAAACACAAGGGCTATGTAGGCAAGTATTGAGATATCTGGGGCTTAAGACCAGGGTTTGATTTCGGGTTCAGGGTTCAGGGTTCAGGGTTCAGGGTTCAGGGTTTAGGGTTTAGGGTTTAGGGTTTAGGGTTTAGGGTTTAGAGTTTAGGGGCCCCCGGTTTGATTCCAGGTTCCGGGTTTAGGGCCGCGGGGGTGGGTTGGAGGATAAATAGTTGTCGATTCGTTTGAGCTGCTCCCCTCATCCAAAGACACGTATTGAATACCTGCCTGAAGTGCTTCGGGGTGCGTGTACAGTTTCAAGCGCCATTCGGGGTTTAGGTGGTAGGTGGGGATGAGACCTGCTACATACATGCTATAAGGGTACCTGTGTTGCTCCTAAGCCCTAAACCTAAACCCTAAACCCTAAACACGAAACCCTAATTAAACCCCAAACCGAGGTCCTGAACATGACGATGTTGAAGTACTTGGCCCGGCCGTACGCGCAGGCATGAACTGCATCTGTTCGACTGCGGGCAGTTTCTCTAGCTTGGCGGGCTGAGGATTGCGGGTTCCTCACTCAATACAAAGCTCTGAGATAGCAGTCCAAGGAGGGGCCCCCTTACTATACTAACTATAGTTAAGGGACTTAGAAGCTAATTTAGGATCCTTATAACCCAATTTAGGGCCCTTAAAACTCTACTTATAACTTGGGGGGCCCCTCCTTGCAGGAGCAGCCAAAACATGAGACATTATTGATTACCGGGAGCTGACCCTGCACATTCGCCACAACAGGAGCACAATGGCACAGATGCAAGAAGCATGCAAGACACTGAGGAAACCACAATGCGTCAAGGGCTCCTTACCCTAAACCCTAAACCCTAAACCCTAAACCCTAAACCCTAAACCCTAAACCCTAAACCCTAAACCCTAAACCCTAAACCCTAAACCCTAAACCCTAAACCCTAAACCCCCAAAAATCTCGCCAAGCCACGAGCCCACGGAGATAGCGAGGCTGGGACCGAGGGCTTAAAAACCTAACTGCCAATGATGCAAGGACCAGGGCTTCCTTGTGATAAGGCACCCCCCCCCCCCCCCCCCCCCTGAATCCCACACCCTCTAGGGTTTAGGGTTTAGGGCTTAGGGCTTAGGGTTTAGGGTTTAGGGTATAGGGCTTAGGGTTTAGGGTTTAGGGTTTAGGGTTTAGGGTCCTTAAACCCTAAACCCAACACCTGAACCCTAAACCCAAGCCTCAAAATCCCAAACCTCCTAAACCCAAGCCTCAAAATCCCAAGCCTTCAGCCAATCCTTTCTTGTGGATGTCCAGGCCATCGCTGGACACTTTGCCAGCAGCGCTTTTGACCCCGAGTCGGGGGACTTCCGTCACTCGGCTTGGCCTCACGTTGCAGAAGCTCTACACTCTAAACCCTAAACCCTAAACCCTAAACCCTAAACCCTAAACCCTGAACCCTGAACCCTGAACCCTGAACCCTAAACCCTAAACCCTAAACCCTACACACCCCGGTGGATCAGACCGCCGAGGACTCATCTTTGATGCGGATCCCAGCATCCAGGCACCCACCCTCCTCGCGGTGCCGGCCCTCGCCTACCCCTCTGGCATCTTAGTAGCTGAGAGTGAGCACACTTTACACTTTTTTTGGGGTTTAGGGTTTAGGGTTTAGGGTTTAGGGTTTAGGGTTTGGGGTTTAGGGTTTAGGGTTTAGGGTTTAAATCCCCTATAGATCTGAAAGCGTACACTTTTTGGGTACTCTTAATCCCCTATAGAACTGAAAGTGTACACTTTTTTTGGGGGCTTATGAACTCAGCAACTAAGGCGTTGAGGTGACGGTGCGTGCGTTGCCCAGTTACAGGGTTGAGGGTGTATAGCGTTTGTAGGGTTTTGGAGGGTTTTGTAGGGTTTGTAGGGTTTTTGTAGTGTTTTTGTAGGGTTTGTAGGGTTTATGTAGGCTTGAGAGGGTTGGTTTAGGGTGGCAGTATTCAGAGTTTTGACCAGGATCAGGATGCTCGGGAGGAGGGGATTGGGCAGACAACTACTGGGGGCCTCAACTGGGACCTAAGTATGAGGCCGAGGGGCTTGGATTGTCGAGTCTTTGGGGTTTAAGGTTGGGTGCTGCTCAAGAGACTCACTCTACATCTAACATGATGGGTTCGCATCGCCAATCCAAAGTTGCAGTTGTAATCCTAAACTCGCGCATGGTTAGTTATCTACATGAAGTTCTTTTTGGGGATTCCTTACTTACCGGCTGATTGCATGACCTTCGGCCATCGGACGTTCAGAAGAAAAGCTCCCTTAGGGACAAACAACATTAGCCGTGCAGTGGGATCAGGTACCCTATGCCCTGTACTCCATTTTCTCTTATTACGGTCTGTAGATGTCTATCGGTTCATTTCGTCCACAAGGTCACCCAAGCCAAGGCGCAAGGCCAAAATATGCCAAAATGTGGCCGACCTCGCGCCAGGATTTCGGGCCATGCTGCGTGCGTCTCCAGAAGAAAGGAAGGTCAAACGTCAGCGCCTTGACGAGTTTGATGGCCTTACTGCCTGCCGACGGTTGACGGTCTGTGGTCTGGATGGTTCCGAAGTGCGGCTTCCTCTTGAAGACAGCTTGACTGTGGAAGACTTGCGCAAGAGTGTCGCAGGAAGGGTCAGCTTGCGGTTGGGTGGCATGCTTGTCCTAGCGGCTGGCGGCAATACCCTGGACGATTCCAAGCCGCTGTTGGAGCAAGTTCAGGGCGATGTCATCACGTATGTGGTTCAGCAGGTTGCCCTTGTCATACTTAGATATATGTTTTCCCTCATGGCGGGGTGCAAGAGGATCCTGTTTTGGGATTTTTGTCGGAGGGTTTAAGGGGACAACCTAGGTTGGTGCAGGGCACGCAGCAGCTGCGTTTCTTCGAGCAAGTGACGGCCAACGCCTGAGCATGATGGACGTACATGCAAAGGACGCAATCTCTTCGTTGGACGTTTATGGCGAGCGCAGTCTCGAGAATGTTGAGCTGCCAAAGAACTTGCAGTCCTTGCGCTTCGGAGCCAAATTCAACCAGAGTTTGCTGAATGTGGCCTTGCCTGGCAGCTTGAAGTCCTTGACCTTCGGACGTTCTTTCAACCACAGTCTGGAGAATGTGGTTCTGCCTGCCAGCTTGCAGTCCCTGAGCTTCGGAATCGGTTTCAACCAGAGTTTGGAGAACGTGGTCTTGCCAGGCAGCTTGCAGTCCTTGAGCTTCGCAGGTTCTTTCAACCAGAGCTTGCAGAACGTGGCCTTGCCTTGCAGCTTGCAGTCCCTGAGTTTCGGAGGTTCTTTCAACCAGAGCTTGGAGAATGTGGCTTTGCCTGGCAGCTTGCAGTCCTTGAGCTTCAGAGGTTCTTTCAACCAGAGTTTGCAAAATGTGGCCTTGCCGGCCAGCTTGCAGTCCTTGAGCTTCGGACACGATT